AAAAAAAAAAAAAAAAAAATTAATTGTCCCACACCAGTCAATGATCAAAAATCTGCCACCTAATCAAAACAATTTCTTGTAAGTTAGATCTCTTAAAATACTAAACTGATACTGTACCGTTAGAGACGGTTTCATATTTCAACTGACAATCTCTGGCAAAGTTAACAAAGTCGGAACACCGCAACTGCTGAGAATCAACTTTTGGCAGTATCGACACCTCGAACATTGTCTGGTCATCAAGAATGGCTAAAACAGTAAAGCAGTTTCAAGCAAATTAGAACTTTACAGACATCCGAAGTGAAAAATAATGGAGATAATAACGAAGCAAAAAGCGAGGAACGTTAGTTCTAACGCATTCGAGATCATTATGTATTTCACATTGAACTATGCCTTACGATGGCTTCCAAGCCAAAGCGTATGGATGTAAATTCGACCAGCGTGGCACATTAACAAATGACTGAGCACTTTCGAATTACCATTCGAGCAAAAAACTGAAGGGTCTTCGAGAGCTTGTTTTGGGACCTCAAATCTAACTTACATGGAAAAACTTAAAAACAACGACCTTTCATTAGTTACTAAATTTTTGATCAAAAAACAGTATTAGAAATTAGCCTAGTTACTTTAGAACAGGACGGTCAACTTGAAAGTTACATGATGAATGCATCACCAGAGATTTAACAAGAAATTCGTGAAAAAAAAAAACAATAACTCCTGAAATCGGGAACCTCAAGCATCACATTTCGATGGCCAAGCAAAAATGACGTTAAACAAATGGACGGACGACTGTTAACATTAGCAGGAGAAATAGTTGAGGCCGTTACACATCGGGAATACTAAAATATTTTACAGTATACGCCATGAAAGCGGTAACAAACAATAGCGAATATATATTAAAAAATGTAGAAAACTACTGGTATACCTGAATGACTAATTGATTGAAACACTAAAAGGAAAAATGACTTTTGAAAGTCCAAAGTTAAATAGCGCACAAGCACCAGTTTTAAAAAAGTTCAAAGCGGATTGCCTAGGAAAATAATACGTGCTGTTTGAGCATGAATCCCTTGAGAATGCAAAATTACAAAAAAACTCGCAGTACATTGTCAACCCAGTCATCAAAACCGCAAAAAAAGAACAAACAGAAAATCAAGTAATTCAGAACAGAAGGCAAAAAAGATGACAATTTTCTGAGATGCCTATAATGAGTATTCGTTGTACTTCAAAAAAAAAACTAATCACCTGCACGCACTGGCTTTTCAACGAAGAAGTGCACCAGGCAAGTTTGATAGTATCGTATCCACCAGGAGACAGATGAGACCGCAACTTAGACTCAGATCCAATTAGACCGCATTCGTCCAAAACTTGATGAGCGCGTCGAAGGTGCAAGATTTCAACGTCATAATTAACTGACTGCCCCTGCTGGGCTTCTTCCTAAAGCAAACTAATTAAGTACAGATAAAACGATTACAAAAGCATCGAGATAATCAAGAATACTTTAGAAAAAAACCTATACAACTGAATCAAAATAAAAACTTGTCCCATTCAGCACCCAATTACATACTTTCATAGGTATCCCAGTTACTGTTGTAGATGCTAAACCGTAGTGATTAACAGCGATGCCACGAATGATCAACGGAAGAGAAGCATCAGCCTCTGTGCAAATCACACAGCTCGAAAGATATTCATTGATCTGAAACCGCTTTCTTAAAAATCAAGATATCGAATAAGCAGCAGCCAACAAATGTAACAAGCGAAAAGAACTTTAAAAAATAACGGCAACTAACAATTCAAAACTACCTGAGTTAACCCCTTCGCAACTACTCCCTTCCCCTCAACAGTGCCGCCCGCTTTCTGCAAGTTGATTATATACAGGTTGACGTGTGTAATTGGAGCAAAACTGTAAAATAAATATAACAGATGAAATAAGAATGATAAAAAATGATATGAAAAACATGACCTCCGTCCTTGAAGTTTATTTTTCAAAAAATCAAATAAAATGCAAATTTTAAGCTAGAATAAATAATGAAGTGATAACAGGTACAGAAATTTTCTATCCCGAAAAATAACATTACTTCCTGTCCTCTCCTTCTATATCAAGAACGCTGACAACTTTATTCCGATTAACAATTTCGTCATAAACCTGCTTCTCAATCACTGACACATCCTTTTCGCTGTAAATGTTGCGAATTAAACATGTAAAACTTCGAATGAAAGAAACTGTTCAAAAAGTAAAAAATAAAAAATAGTTTTTTTTTTCAGAATTTGAGCCACATGTAATAAACTACTTCCAAACAACACTAGACCCTCGTAACGTAAAAGGAAAAACTTACTTATCAAATGAGGAGAATATTATTATAGACCCTTTATTATGCGACGCTTTTTTTTCGTCATCCAATGACAAATTTTTTACTGACTTTGCGTAATACAAAAGCTTTCCTTTCACAACATCATCTTGCGCCTGAAATTTTGAAAAAATTAAACATGTCTTACAGCAGCAGAAGTTTCTGTCAAACTTTACTACCTCATGAAATTTTGTACCAACTAACTTCCTACCTATTTTGACCAAACTAACTTTAAAGAACTTTTAAGTAACGGGATTTCAATAGTACAACCAGATTTAACGAAGTTAGAAAAAATCAGCTAATGAACTGACACGCATCAAAACAAAACCCGCGAAAATTTAAGTTCCGGTCACAAATAAATTCGTAGGGATTAAGGTGCAAAACAATAAAAATTAAAAAAACCTTTTTCCTCTTCAAACTATTTGCATCATGCCGGATCATATGTTTCTTACAAATCTTCGCGTGAGACGCACTAAGGATCCTTTCTTTCTCGGATAAGACTTCATACTTCATGTTGGATATAGCAGCTGAGAAAAGATCACTGCGCAGCAAGCCATCGCCACCGTGTCGCAATGAGCCATTTCGCTTTTGTAACTCGGTTAGTTCAGAAAGAGCTTCCACAGCCATTGAAATCCCATTAATAATTGAGCAAGATGTAACATCAGCTTTCGAGTTAGGCATACCGCATTTCGAAAACAATTTCAATAACTAAAAAGACACCCTAAAGTTCAGACGAAAAAGCTAAGAAATTGTGCAGACCAAAACTGATGCTTGAGTCATTTTTTACACAACTCAAGTGCATGCCCGTTACACTATGCAACAACACATAATAGAAAAGGAAGATTACTTGATCACAATCAATAAGGTTGTTGCTCCATTCAGCATTCAAAAAACGGCCAACAAAATCTGAGATAACAAAACGCATAAGACGAGAACCATCTGGATATATTTCATCCACAATACGATGTAACTCAAGCGAGGATTCCACTGCATAAGACCATAAACTTTTTTGTACACTGCAAGCAACACGCATTTGACCGGTAGATGGATCTTTTAACGACATGCTCATCTCCTGCAATTTCTTGAGTAAGCTGCAATTCCGTAATATTTTAGAGGTTCCTTGAAACAAAAAAATTTGAAGTCGCTATCTGCTCAATCATTAGCTGAAATTCGACAGTATGACAAAAGTTTTTAAAGTTATTTTGCAATAAAAATTTACAAACAAGGTAAAGAAACTAGAATAAGAAAGCAAAGAATGATTAAGCTCTCTTAACATCCTTCATGCATAAAAACCTTGAGAATTTAATACGAGGTGAAATAACGAGCGGAAAAATAAATAAAGCCACAAATAGAAAATTAAAAATTATAAAAAATCAATTATGCGTCACAAATAACTTTAGTATCATCTCGGCAATATGAAGTTGCCAGATACTACCTAACACTGAAATCCCTTCTGCTTTTTGGCTCTTCTTTTACAAGACAAAATCACAACGCAGCAAACTTTCAAAAAATACTAAAAAATGTATGCACTTACATGACCAGCAAGTCGCGCAAAACCTGGCGAATGGTCCAACACAATCACTGTTTTATGATCGAAATCTAATGCTTCATCATCAGCAAACCTCCCAAACTTCATATCTTTTCCTCCAAATAAAAATTTGGCTCAATTCAACTCAGACGCATAAGCATTAAGAAATAATAACAACCTGAAGATAAAAAATGAAAATTAGGAAATGCGTCAGCGAATAAGAGGAATCCAAAATACGTTTACCCTAATCACTTTTCCCCAATAATAAACTGGATCGCTCCGCATATAAACCAAATAAACTGACGAAATGCATAAACTAATTACACAGAGAATTTTACAAATAATCCTCTGTTAACGATAAACGACAAAGGACATCAATAATAAAAAAACATAGCATAAAACCCTTACCTCGAGGTGTCACTGCTTGATGATAACAAGGAACTTAATTGTACATCTAAACTACCAACAAAAAAGAAAACGAAAAAATAATAAAATAACAATTAAAAAAGCTATGCCCTGACCATCCCAAATGATACCTCATCATCATCATCACCCGCTCTTCCTCCTCTCCCCTTATCGCAATTACTTCCCCATCGTGTGGTCCCCAACCAGCCAGTCTTACCAATAAAATAGTGACAATCCCCTCTCCCATTCTCCCTTTCCTTCAACTTTCCCTCTTAAAAAAAAAAAAAAATTGAAAAAACTTTATATCAATAACACAGGTAACCTCTCTGAACAACCTGAAAGAACACAACACAAAACACAAATAATGATATCCAACCGAGT